AATAACATTTTAGTAAAGGCGGTGAATTACACGAGGATGCTTAAATTTGTTTATTTGTTTAAATTTGAGTCAAGCTTAGTCTCTCCTGTGTAAATGCAGCAGCAGTGTCTGAACCCACTCGCATATGTTTTTCTGTAGTGTTTCCAGCGATCAGAGTTTGTAATTTTATTGCTGCAAACAGATCTTCTGTCCTATATGCATTATAGTCTCATACCTGATTTTTGTTGTGAATTCAACTTCAAAACAGCTGATGTACACAACATAAATAAAATGTTTGCATTTGTAAATCTGTGTCTTGTAGCCATGGTCATCTCTTCTAAGGAACTGGAACAGCCTGGCTGTTACACACCCTGGTTATATGGCCTTCTTAACCTACGATGAGGTGAAGGCTCGACTGCACAGGTTCATCCACAAACCTGGCAGGTAGGCCTCACAGATCAGATGTATCCTGTAATACTTTTGGGGGGAAATCCCTACTGTATTAAATATTTTGTTGCAGGAGTTTGTAGCTGTTGGTTGAAATAACTCTCTCTCACAGCTATATCTTCAGGCTGAGCTGCACTCGGCTGGGCCAGTGGGCAATTGGCTATGTGACAGCTGATGGGAACATCCTGCAGACCATCCCGCATAACAAACCACTCTTCCAAGCACTCATTGATGGATACAGAGAGGGATTGTGAGTCGCATATCATCGGGGTTAATGAACTAGTATTTAGTGTAGATTTATAGCACTGTTAAACTGCAAGCTGTCAGGGGAGAGTATTGTCTTTCAGCCTACTGAGTACATGTTACTTTAGGTTACTGAATTAATAGTGAGGAGGGTGGAGTCTTTGTAATAGTTCCTCAAAATTTAACAAAAAACCTTACGAGGAACAGGTTGGAGAGTGTGGATGAAACGGTGTCACAATCGATGTATAATTCACTAGTTTGTGTCATCCTGCAGAGAAACACACCTGTTTTTTGTTTTTTTTAAAAAGGATTTTATAATGAGAAATTGTTTGGCAGCCTCCATGAATTGTAATTTAAAAAAACATGGCGAGGTTGTTGTTTCTTACTGTTGATTTATAAAATCTGAAATTGACCCTTTTTTGTGACTTGGTTGCGTTTCTGTGTGCCGTGGTTCTCCAGCTATCTTTTCCCAGATGGCCGTGCACAGAACCCAGACCTGACAGGGTTGTGTGAACCGTCTCCACAGGACCACATCAAAGTTACTCAGGTTTGTTTCTCACGTGCGTGCATGTTTTTAATGCAGAGAACAAATACAGATGCATAAAATGACTAATTTTAGGAATAAATCTCTAAAGGATGAGAGTAACATGAGCAGCCGGTGTTGAACGGTCTCCCTCTTTCCCTCGTTTCTCTGTGTAGGAGCAGTACGAGCTCTACTGTGAGATGGGCTCTACTTTCCAGCTTTGTAAGATCTGTGCAGAGAACGACAAGGATGTGAAGATCGAGCCGTGCAGACACCTGATGTGCACCTCGTGTCTGACCGCCTGGCAGGTATGACCTTATCTGCCACCTCTCCATTTAAACTATAAACTTTTATTACACTGATTTGAAGCAGCTCAATAAATCCTGACATGGATCTTCTTTTTCCTGCTGTAGAATTTTCTTTAAATTCAGTTTTTTGTGTTCAACTGTGCCTTTTTAAATAGGTCAATTAATAATAATAATAAGTCTTTGATTTAGATTCATTCTCAGATTGCAAGTGTTTTACTCCACTCTCTGATCTGCATGTTTAAACTTAAGTATAAAGTATTTTTTTCTATATTTAAAAAAATTATTAGTAGTAGTTCCTGCAGTAGAGGAGTCGTGTCATGTTCCTCAGTGTAACTGTTGCAGTCCCCAAATATACGTTCGGTTCTTTGAGCCATAAGATCCCACAGTGCTGCTGAGTTTTAATAATGAAAGTGTGAAACAAAGGGAAGCAAAAGAGATGGGAACTCCGGCTAAAACAAACAAACAAAAGAGGAAGGAGTCCATGAACGAACCACACCAGACTGTCTGCTTCAGGCGTCACCCCTAAACTACTTTTTTTCCTTCCTTTTTTAACTAAGAACCAAAAACAAAATCGAAAACAGGCCTGTAGCAACAGAAAGGCAGAGGGGAGGGACAGAGATTCCAGTTACTGACCATCAAGCTTCAGCAGCCAATCGGCACTAAGAATAAATCTAAAGTGAGATCAGGTTAACGAGGGTGCTGATAAAAACACAACAAGGTGACGACTGGACCAACGCACCGAGGTCACACGTAGCTGTAACTTTATTGTTTTATTAACGTTATCTTACAGTCAGTGAAGCGGAAGCACTTTCTTTTTGTACTTCCTATAACAAAATCCTTCTTGTTACTAACAACTGTAATTTTTTCTCTTCAAACATAAAAGATTAAATAGACTTTACTGGCTGGGAACACAGACTTGCTAAGAGTGACACAAAGGACTTGTTTGCCATGAGTGAGTGATTAAATGAATTTGATGTGCTGTTTATTCTTGATGGACTTTGGACTTTAGACTTCCTTATATGGAATTTATTTTGATTGTGGTTCACATCAGACGAACAATATAATCGTTGTCTTCCCAAGCACAGTCGTGTTGTTCTCACTACTCTGCTTTCAGGACAGAAATGCTCTCCGGGCTAACTTAACAGATTAATTAATCGCAGCATGACTGCACAGTTCTTTAGACATAGTTTTTGTTAAAGTGCTCCTTCTGCAGATCTTTGATGTACAACATTTATTTGAGATCTTCAGTTTTATTTACATTATAATTCATCCTGTCCAGGTGACTCTTTTTGTGGTAGTTTTCATGGTTTCCTCCTTCAGCTTTCATTCTTGAAAAGACTTGCAGCTGTAATTTGGATTTAAATCAAAGCAAAGCCTTTCACAAATGATGAAAGCTTCAGTCTGCTCCTTTACCTTTACCTCCTAACCTTGCTGTGTCTTTCTGTGTGTGTGCATTTCAGGAATCGGAGGGTCAGGGCTGCCCGTTTTGCCGATGTGAGATTAAAGGCACGGAGCCTATTGTAGTGGACCCCTTTCATCCGAAGGCCAGTGGGGCTTCCTTTGCTGGTTTCCAGGGGTCGAGCAGAGCAGAAGCCGCAGGCAACGAAGAGGAAGAGGATGATCGGCTGGAAGACCAGCAACTTGTCATGAGCAGGCTGGCCTGCACCAAAGTAAGACAAGCACGTACATATATTTAGACGCTCACCGGGTGCTTTATTAGATGCAGCTGTTCGATTGCTTATTAATGCACATAATTAATCAGGTAATTGCTACAACAGCTCAGTAAATTTAGCTAATAGATATGGTCAAGATGACCTGCTCAAGTTCAAGCCGAGCATGAGAAAAGGAATGAAAGGTGATTTGAGTGATCCTTATCGTGTAAATGTCTCTGAGGAATATTACAAGCACTTCATCCGCTACAAAATCTGTAAATCAATGTGTGGGTGTGCAGGTGGAGCGCCCCCCGTCTCCAGTTTCTCAGCTGCCTCCGGTGCCTCCGCGACTGGACCTCTTACAGCAGAGGTCCTCCACCTCCCATAGTGCACTGAGTCAGGGAGCCACAGCCAAAGTAAGTACACGCCTGAGTGCACTAAAGACAAAATACTTTGAGACCGACTAGCTGTGGAAAAGAATTCAAAGGGTGGAAAAATAGTTTTTAGAAAAACACTCGCATTGGCCAAAGGTGCATTCGAGACTTGCTGGTCACTGAAATATTCTCCCTCTGAATAGTGCCTTTAAGAAGAGCCCTGTGCAAACATACACTAAGAAGTTGAACCAGAAGTAATAACTGCTTAATCATATGGAAGTCATATGCAAAGTGTTATGGCCAACACCTGCTGCTGGGACGCAAACTTCATTACAAGAGCAGTACATTTAGGTCAGAGTAATATCACAAACTAACCACCTCCTATTACCAGTTTTAACTCACTTTTTATATCAATAAATACATGTATATGAGTAGCTAACAATATAAATATCTTCTCTAGAAAAGAGCATTTATAGTTTTAGTTGTGATCAAAAGAGCCTGTGAGATAAAGCTGTAATGAGCCCGTATATTTAAGTCAATATTTCCTAGAAGCCTTGAAATTACCACAGTGTGTGTGTCAGATGTCCATTTGATAGTCAAAAGTAATCATGTGTTAATGTGGCTGCAAGTTCCTGGAAATTATGTGAATTGGCTAAGTGTTGGTATTCACAACTGCTCAACTGTTTGCGTGTGACTTAAAGATTAATAGTGACGCCTTTTTATTAAACCTCCAGTGTGCCGCCAGCCCTGCTAACATAATTATTGTTATTACCAGAATAGGATGTGTGTGTGTGTGTGTGTGTGTACTTGAGTCTTCACATCTTTAACAAAAACCATCCTGTCCTGTGTCTTCTGACCCAGATGGTAGCCACACACAGGGACAAGCCTCTACCTCTGCCTCCAGCACTGAGAGAGCTGCCCCCTCCTCCCCCACCGGAGCGCCCCTCCCTGGTCGGCCAGGAATCCAGACTCCAAAGGAGACCCCTCCCCTCCACCCCGGACCAGCCAGCCTGGGCAGCCAACTACATGGTGCCACGCCCTGCAACGAAGGCCCCGTCGTCCATCCCTCAGAGCAACGGAGCCGGCGCAGAGGGGAGCAAACCGCAGACGGCGATCAATCCTGTGTACTGCCTGGCTGCGAGGTACGGAGCTCTGCTGCATTGAGGTGTAGTAGACAGGAAATAATGTAGTGAGACAAGAACTGATGAGGAGCGAATGGATATTTTTCCATCTTTCTTCCAGACAACTTTCTGAAAAAACAGCTATCGACCTTGCCAGCAGCGTTCTTAACATTTGTTTTGGTGATGTAATGTAGAGCCACATCAGTGTTCTGATCTATCAAAATGATGCCTTTCATATATTTCCAGAACTAGTAAAAAAAACTGTCAGTGTGTTTGCATTTTGTCTCCTTCAGGATTTCTCAAATTTGTCATTTACGACCGATGAGAAAAAACACGCTCTGTGATGTCTACCTTTGCTCAGGTCGTTGCCAGGGTCAGCGGTGTCCAGCGGGGAGAAGCTGTCGTCAGACGGTGAAGATAACGAGTACATGAGTCCCACATCCCTTCCAGCTTCCGGTGCCCCGTGGGTAATAACAGGCTCCTTGGTGCCCCCACCACCAACCCAGGCAAACAACCACAATGACACCAGGTAAATGGAACAGCAAGGGGGGTGAAGTTGCTTCTATTAGAAGAATGTTTTTCAGGAAAATGACCTCTAAAGGCTTCTCCGCGGCTGGAACGTATTGACACCTAACATGTGGGCTATTTATTTCCCATATTTTTAGGTTTCTGGATTAGTTTTAGTATTCTGACTCAGTTTTTAAAGGCCAAACATAATCAATGACCAGAAGAAGAACACAGCTTAACAGCATTGAAAGCATCACAGTGTGAGGCAAACAAATAGACAACACTGACCTGTGCTGAGCCCAGCAGTGTCTCTGGATTTAGACTACAAGTGAAAGAAAATCAGACCCAATGGGAGCATAAAAATGACACAATTGGTCCCACTGTCGTCTTATTAATGGAGTATGTATAGTGTAAAAGGAAGAACTTTACACCAGATCAGGTCAGATGACTTGAAGCTCCGGGGTGTGCTGTCTTTTGGAACAGGGCTATATGGCGCTGTCTTTAAGGGGAAAAATGTAGATGTTGGGTTGTTGGAAATACCAGCAGATCAACAAACATGCTCAGACCTTCCGGCAGGTAATAAAATGTGCTTATGTGTGTGGTTATGTAATTGTATTGTGAAAAAAATCTCGCTGGGAAAGGTTACGAGTGAATTTCAAAGAGTTCGTAGAGTGAAAAGTGAGAAAGTTGGTCTATAAACAAGTTAAAGGGATAGTCTGACACACAATAATGCAACCCTCAAATCTGAAGCTGTGTATTTTGTCCAGCAGGGGGCTCTCGAGGTTCCCATTCCTTAGAGAACTCTCTTTCACTTATTTGCTGTTTTTCACCTCCTTAAATAATTTAAAGGACAGTGCTTGAAGATGAAGGCAGCTGCATCTCAGCTTGTCTCTTTGATTAAAATGATGACAGTGTCTAAAATATAGGGAATTCGAATGGCTAGGAAATCTGCTTAAATTTTAAAACTCGAGAGCTGAAAGTTGTGGTGTGAGCCTACAAAGATGCCTTCGCTGGGTCCGTGCACGACTAATTAGGCTTAAAATGTGTAATATTTGGAAGCATTCATACCTCTTTGTGATTGGTGGATTTTTGTTTGAAGCAGAGCTAGATGTTTAGCGGTCTAGCACACTGAAATGATGAGTTTTTGATCAGAGGTTTGGTGATTTAGCTTACAAAGTGTAGATTCAGTCATTGAGAATATTACCTTCTCTGTGAGGATTAGTTTGTGTAAGAGTCAGGCATAAAGGATCGCCATCAATGGCCCTTTTTAAAATTTGCTTCTAATACTTTTTCCTTTCTTTTTGTTTATTTTGGTCATGTAGTGTTACCATGGTAACTAGACAAAATTTCAGATTATGAGTTAAGTGTAATTGCAAATAAGCCCTGCAAGTCAGCTCAGGATGCAGACTTTCCAGGCACACCGCTCTGTCCCCAACCACCTACAGTTCAAACCTGCTGTTTGCAAGGGGCATCCAAGCAGAAGAAAACTGACTTTAAGGGGACGGTGGCCTGAAAGTATAAATGGCTTTATTTATTTATTTATTTATTTATTTATTTATTTATTTATTTATTTATTTATTTAAAATCATGGAAAACTATTTGAGTCCAATTTGAGTCCATTTTCATTGAATCCAATGAAAATGAGCACAGTTTGTTCCCCTTTAAATGATTCCTCTGTCTCTCTCTGTCTCGCTGTGTGCCTGCAGTGAGGTGGGGGACAGTGACTCTGAGGACCCCCAGGTTTACGAATCCATGTGTAACATCCAGGCCCAGGCCGGCTCGTCGGAGACGACACAGAACTCTGAGCTGGGTAACGTTCTCAGTTTCTCACTTCAGTGTATGGGAAGTGCTTGATCTTTGTGGATTACTCACAGTAATCACACTATTTGTTCTAGTAGTAGTGGATAAACTGACATCACAAAATTAAGAATATCAGTGTAAAACCTCATTTTTATTTACCTTTTTTTTTCCCCCCCTCCAAGACCATCCTCAGCATTTAGCTGTTCCGCAGGACAAAAAGGAGGAGGCCAGTGTGGAGGATGTTTACGAGTATGACTTTCCCAGACCAGTGGTCCCTCCTGCCCCCGCCAGAAGAGCCCTGTCAGATATCAGCGGCCCTTCTGCAGCCTTCAGCAATCTCAACATAGACTCTGCAGTAGATCCCAGTATGTGTGGGTTTTTTTTTGTTGTTTGTTTTGTTTTTGTTTTTCCCCTTTTTAATTTGTAATGATCAGCAGGTGGTGAAATTTCTGGTTGCAAAAAGGGGGGTGGTGGTCATTAGTTACGTCGTACTGAACACCGCGTGATTTATATTTTAATAGTGATCACCAGCATGCTCAGCTTGAGGCTTCAAGAAGATGCATGAACAAACCGGTGACATCCAGTTCTCGCGTGCAGGCTGTTGTTTGTTGTTTTATTGAGCATTTTTCTTAGGCTGGAAATAAAACAAAAAGTGGCAAACAATTTTTTTGGCATTGAAGCTAATCACAATTAAAGAAAAATCAAAAAGTCCAAAAAGAAAAGTAGTCTTAGTTAGACTCAGTAGCGGTGGACAAATGAATATTAATTTGAGAAGTAATTAGGCTACATGAATGTAACTTGAAACTTCTTGTTTAACTTTGGCTTCAGCAAATTACTGCTTTAACCACACTGAGGTCAGTGATGGAAATTGCTTTCATAGATACTCTAACCACAACGTGCTGCATGTCAGGCCAGCTTGTGAAACTGCTCAGGCGATTCATGAGGTCAAAGTTACAACAGAATCCATCATGCCAGGCTTGAAGCTATGTGCTTGTAGATGAACTACAGGTAGTTTGGACCAATCAGCCTTCTGTTAGGAAGCCACATTCAGTCTAGGAGCAGGTGTCACTGCTTGGCAGTTTGCTTGGTAACAGTTATTTTGAAGCCAGAACTTTAATGTCAGTGATAACCTAAAGGCCTTTTTTCCTGCCAAGTTTTACTTCTGCGGCGCATGCTGCGTTTCTTTGCCTTTCACAGACTGTTACAGATTATTTATCCAGTGTTTTAGTTTTTTGAGAGTGCGGATACTTTTAACAGTTTTTAAGGACTTCCTAAATGTTTCTGTTTCTCAGATGTTTCAGGTTAGCAAATGTCTGGTTATAAAGGGAAATTTTAAATTATTTTTTCCCACAAATCATCTACTCATCAGTGCTCATGTGTGAATGTAAATGTGTATTTGACGTGTTTATTTTGTATTTGACTCATCACGTTTCTTATTTTTCTTTCATTTTCTCTCATTTGTTTCAGGTATGTTTGTAGCAGGCGGCGACCCTGAACGTCCCCCAAAACCTCTCCCGCGGCGAGCCAACTCTGACCGACGGCCTCGTCCGTTAAACCGCGAGCCACCTCCGCCACCGCCAGACCTCCCTGGTCCCTCCTCATCTGCCTCCCCTGTTCCACCTCCGACTATTCCTCCTTCAGGTCCTGGAAGCTTGGCCCTAAACGGGGAGATTGAATGCCTCATATCCCAAGGCTACTCCATCCAGGACATCCAGAAGGCCCTGATGATCGCTCAGAACAACCTCGAGACGGCCAAGAACATCCTGCGCGAGTTTGTCTCCATCCCTTCCACGGCGCACATCGCCACATAGTCACTTTGCGCAGGCTCATCCTCTGTCTCGTCTCTCTCCACTCTGTGCCATTATCATTTACCAAGCACTTTCCTGCAGGGCCACAAGTACTTTCAGAAGGCTTTACTCTGAGGGATGATGCTGCGTTCATGTTATATCTCATCCAAAGTCATTTGTAGTGGGAAAACAGCAACGTGGGGTTGGGGGGGGGGGGGCTATTGTTAAAGACGATGTCAAGTGGCTGAAATTACAGTCTCAGAATCTCTTTTACTTGTAATATTCATTTGGAGATTGAGGGTTTTGGCCTTAAACGTGAGAGGTCAACTGTAAGTCCGATATGACCTGAACACAGCATAAATGGAGACTCGGAGCCTTTAAAATGGGCTTGCTGTGGCCAAGCTGTGACCCTGCTGTGATTCGCTGAGTTAGTTACATGCTGCGGCAGTGTCCCCCCTCAGTCTGCGTGCACGCTCTCATTAAGCTAAGTGTTAAAACCGTGCAGACTTTGTTCAGCGAAGGGACCCCGCACATAGTCGTGTCCGACTGGGCGTCCCACTGCCTGCAGCCGCTCGGTCTGGTGCTTTTACTGGCTTCTTTGCAAATCGTGGCGTACGAATATGTAGCGATACGGTCCGAAACTGGTGATTAACTGTGTGGCAGTCGTGCTCGTGCTGATGAATGTGAACGTGTAGTCGCGGTGCAGTATTGCAGGGCTTCGATGTCGTACGCGTCGCTGTGGCTCGCTCCGTTTTCGATGGTATCTGACGAGGTGAACGCAATTCAGTTGCCGTCTGTCAGCTCCAGGTTCGGTGATAGTTCTATGATGAAATAACAAATTTAATGTTTAAGTACTCTCATGGTGTGTTGTGGTGTGCGTAGTATTAACAATGGCTGAGTTTGAGTTCTTTTTAATTCCATCGTTTCCTGCCACCGATAGAGGTGGCCCGACACTGAAGGCTGGTTTATTTAGTCGAAAGCTTCTCTCTACGCTCGTAGTTTCTTAGTTAATAACCGAAAGAAGCTCTTAGAAGAGCTTCACTCAGTTCACTGGGAGATCACATCTAACTCTAAAGCCTAAAGCAAAAAACAAAAAACTGAAAGTGGGGTGAAGTCACGTGGACTCAGGTACTCAGTAATAAGCCAGGTTATATGTAACGAGCAGATGCTAAAGGACACGCTCCCTCCATCCTCACAGACATTCCATAGAGTGGATTTTCTTTATATTTTTAGGTTTCCTGCAGCATATTTACATACAGCTTCCATAGTTAAGATATTAAAATCTGTTTTCTGATTCTTCGATGAGCTCATTTACGTCCTCTAACTTTAAACTCTGGATATGACTCTAATGTAGCTGCGGTAATTCCATCTGTCCACAGTCCTGCATGACCATTTTGTGGATTTCAGTCACTCTGCAGTTCATAAAACTCTTCATGGGAGGAATGTTGGGGAAAGGCAACAAAAATCTCAGGATTTTATTAATCCATCAAAGCAATTTACAACACATTACAGCTGTCACAAATGCCAACAAATTTCTAAAACGTATGTTTTTTTTCTAAAACATGTTTTAGAAATTTGTAAAAACTTGTTTAAAACAAAAAAATTGTATTATTAGTTATAATGTTAATAATGAACAGAATTCATGTTTTTAATCCCGATATTTGAGCCAGCAAAGAAGTCAAAAATTAAAATTAATCAGGCATAGCAGTGAGCCAGTAAAAACGTCCTGTGCAAGAATGCAAGAAAATAAGTATAATGTGGCATCTTAATTAAAAAAAAAAATTTCCTTACCATTTAAAAAAAACATTTTTGTATTTAAACCAAATTCATGGGCAACAAAATTAATTATATTGAAGCATGAAATTTCAATCAAATAGCTTGTTTATACTGGTGGATTAACTGGTATGGAGATGATTTCGGTAAATACTAACACTTCATTTAGAGCAGCTGGGGCACAAACCTTCCATTGGATGGTGGTCTGATAAATGTGTTGTATAGCCAGCTTCTTGATGCGCAAGTGGTAACACTAAACACGCTGCTGATCACTAGTTTCAAACTTAGAAAGCCATTTTTTTGGGAGGCTGATTGGCTAATTTGAGCTATTTGCAGATATATTTCACTCTTGGTTGGTACTATATAACTGCTACTAAATGAAAATTAAAAAGAAAAGACTAGATGAGCGAAACATCCTTCAAAGATTTATCCATGATGTTTCGTAGTTTTCCACCAGAGGGCACTCTGTAACTTCCCTGTTGGCAACAGGAGTAAATCCATGACATGTATTGTCTGTATTTGTGTGTATAGACTCAGAAATAACTATGCATAACAAATTTGTTTATTTTGGCTGCTGAAAGAAAAACAAAAACTGTTGATATCAGATTTTTAAATCACTAAATATCAGTTCTGTTTTATCCTATATGGGTCGGGCTCTAAATATATCTAAATTATACAAATTAATTTTACAATCATGCCCAGAATAAATTGGCTTGAAATTGTCGCAAAACCTTTGAACAGGGACTCGTAGACTCTGACTTCTATTTTAACTTTGGTACAAAAAACAAAGAAATCAACATCTGCTCCAATTTTACGAGCACGTTAACTTCTTCATGTGAAATTTCAAGCACGCGTGCTCTTCGTCACACCAAAACTCTGGTACCACCACTAAGGATGAACTTAGGTTGTAATAATTGTAGTGTTGCAATCCATTACAAATACCAGCTTTCCTGTAAAATGTCTGAGTTGACGATACGGGACTTTCTCCAAATTCCTGCTGTGACCATGTGCAGCTTCGCTGATTCATGTACGCTGCTCTGTAGTTTTACTCCCCTTTTCTCCTCTTTAAAAGCTGCTAAGAAGTAACCATCTGGTGAGATCAACACTCTTCCCATACATACTTTTATGAACTGCTGCTTTTCAGTGCACAGAGACCTTAGGTCCTTAACGCGCCAATAAAATATCCAAATTGACATGTAAAAAGCCCTTTAAAGGTTTGGATTTCTCTCAGGTTATATTTTCTTGTCAATGGACCAAAAAATTTAGTAGCTGCCACTTCCAGGCACCACACCTATACTGTCTGAGATGAGCCCATCGGTGGTATTCAGCGTCATGCCTGCATGAGGGCTGTTGGTTTGTCTACTTAAGAAATTAAAGAAAGATTCAGATTGAAGACATTAAAGGAGAACAGTGGTCTGATCTGAATCCAAACACAACACAAAAAGAGTCGCAACATCTGAAACATTTATGTTGTTCTGCATGAATATTATTTAAACCCTAGGCTGATTTTTGTTGTTGTTGTTCTTACAAGTCCTAAAGGTAGATAACAAGAACCCAGTTTAATCAAATGAGCCTGACTGTGAAAGGAAGCTCACTGTCAGCTGGTCACCTTTTCATTCCTCCGCAGCGACATGTACAGTAAACGTGCCTTCTGTCCATCACAACTTGCACATGCCAGCAGGCAAGCCAAAATAACCCCTCCACATTCACCATTTAAATGTGTTGGAAACTACTGCAGGTTGTTTTCAGGTCAAGCGCTCTCTTGATTTCGCCATGGTAACACTATATCAGAACTACAGTTTATGCAAATTTACCTTTTTAGATTTAAAAAAAATTAACTGACTTAAAAGTGTTTCAGAATAGAGAGAGCTCCACTTTTTACAGTCAAAAACAAACAAACAAACAAACTTTACCCCTGATTTGGGTGAAAGGGCAAAGGGTGATTGACTTATATTAAACATGAACTTTATCTGAAAAATGTTTCTCGTAATTATCGGACACTAAGATCCCCCCCACCCCCTCTTTTTTTTTTCTTTTTTCCCCCAATAAATGTGCTGCTGGATTTGGAGACAGTGCAAAAACCTAATACTTCAAACGGAACTAAATGAAAAGAAATGTTACTAAATTTCTAAATGTAATCTGATGCTAAGGGGGAGGGAAAAAAACAGTAAATCCTGTTAAGAACCCAGAATACCCTGGAGTTGTCCTGCTGTTTCCTGGCTGTCTGTGATGCCACAAAAATGTTGCAGCTTTAATCGCCCCAAACCAAAAGAATCTTAAAACGTGTGCGTGCGCTGCTCCTCCTCCTCCTCATCTTCCTCGAGTCGCCCCAGAACAGAGACCACGAATGTGTCTTCAGTCCCCTCAGCTTTGTTTTCACTCAGTCTTGGCGTTTTGTACCAAGGCAACTAACTAAATGGCACTAACTCCAGGACTGTTGTAGTCCTGACGTGTGATGACGCACTCAAGGCTCATTGTCCTGCTGAATCACTGCCAGAGGCTCCTCCGTCTCACACGCTTTCTCTCAGTGTCGCCGGTAACCTCGGCCGGTGTGTTGGTTCTGATCCGCTGATTAACAAGGAGTGTGTGCGTGCGCTTTATTCATGTTAACTAGCCTTCTCGACAGGAACTTGCCTACTAAAAAAAACTGTCTTCATTGCTTTATTATTGTCTATGTAGATATTTTATTTATTGTGTTTTTAATATCCTCGGCATTCATTGTGTTACAATGTTTTCATGCCTAAGCCATTAAGATTTTTAATTAAACTGTATTTTCTTTAACCTTTGATCTGTGTGGTTTGTCACTAAACAGAAGCAAACAGATTCTCTATTAATGTGTTTGAGCATCAGGTTATTTGCATTTATCAAACTTTATGGGACACGCTAATGAAATGATGCTGCAATAACAATTTTAAGACTTGACACAGTATGCTGCAAGACTGTCATCTGCAGTGCATCACATTTTGTAAACGTAGTGGGTCTCCAAACATTTACTGCTGCATTATTCTGCATTCATTAGCGGTTGTGTTTCTGGCTACATGCTGAAAGTAAAGCCAACGTTCTCCACAAACTCCAGGAGGAGCTGCTATTTCTCCTTTGTTTACTGCGAGAGAACTTGGTTTGTCTGCTTTTATCAGACTCAATTACTGAACAATTCTGCCTGAAGCGAGGTTAATGAGAGTGTACTGGACAAATTAAAAGATCAAAAAGGGTTCAGCAGAGTTGAAGGCGTCTGTAGAGTCACTGCAGGCAACTTATTAATCTAAAGGTGTGCTGCGACCACTGTGCTATGAATTACGTTACAGTTATGGGACACTGGAGGTGAATACATGTTTTAAAAGTTAGGTTCTCACATGTTTAAACACAAGTTCCACTGTTTCTGCATGCAGACAGTTTTGGTTTTACTCGTCGAGGTTCTGAGATTTATCTTAAATAACATTAAGTCTTTTTCCATGAGTAACACCTGCCTCCTGCTTATTATCTAGACAAAGTTATAATATGGCTTTGTCAGTTTTTTGCATTAGAAAACGTTCCTGTAACATTATACCCAGCAGCCTACATGTGTATAAAGTTGCATGACAACGGCTGCACATTTCATTCATTCAGTTTCTTTTGTACTCCACGGGTTGGTTTAAATCCACCATCTGGCCACGGCCATTCTGCATGGAGTTTGCAGGTTCTCCTGATGTCTGCAGGGGTTCTGAGTACTCTAGCTTCCCAAAGATATCCACTTAGTGGGTTATGTTAAGTAGTGATTCTACATTGCTCATGTGCAAATGGCTTTATCTCTGTTGTTGACCTGTCAACGTTGTACACTGCGGGGATAACTCTGGGAAAAATGGGGAAAAAAAATTGCATGATGAATCTTCTGCCATCACGTAAGTATGGCTAAGATTGAGAAAAGGTGTTTGTTTTAGATCTTCAACTGTATTTGAGAAACAGAGGAGCTGACGTGGGATGTGGGTTGCAAAGTAGCTTGCTTTGAGCAGGTTAAATACTGCAGTCTGTGTGAGAGATGCCTATTGGATGTGTAAAAGGGTGTCGGCTGAGCCATCACAGCCTGAACTAACACTGTGCTTAAAATGTTCAGTGTGCATTTTTCCTGTGAGGCACTCAATCACACGTAATTTATATCTGGTTTGGGTTCTGAATTTACACTCAGACATCAAACCTATTAAGAACCTCTGAAACAAACCAGCTCACTGGGTTCCTATGTGTTGTTCCCCCACTGTTAAATAAACACTAAACGCTTAAAGCACAAACTTTCAGTGTAGAAAATATGATGTACTTTTGCTCTTTTCCCTCAAAAAAAAAAAAACGTCACATGCAGCAATCCATCCAAGCAGCGTAAATGCAAGACAAAGCCAAAGTACCGAGTTGTAATCATGGTGGGGGCGTCTCCTTTGGAGGCTTTACACTAAATGAAGAGAGAATGGCTGATTTGATTTGCAGCTACATGAGCTAACGCTGCCTGAATTCATTGCAGATGTGAGCTTTGTTTTCTGACCGGCCTCCTTCCAGACTCCAGCTGGAAATCTGAGCTACTGTTGGAGTCACTTCCAGTTCGTGCTGACAGCGGTTTGGAGGCTGCACTCCTTCCTGTCTTCTCACTGTGGGACTGTGCAGAGCTAACAGAGCACACTGAGCTCACAGTTGCTGAGGTTCATATTTAGCCTCTGGGCTCTCACTTCAGAGCTCCCTTATACCTCTGCAAAAGTAATAACACTTTAAATGAAAACTTTAAATGAAACTTTATTTGGCTTTATTTTCTTGCGAAAAATATAAAAAAATGCAAGCTCAAAGAATCACATGTACAGTACTCAATTTACACACACGTAGAGAAAAAGAAAGAACACAACATTTTTTTTCCCCACCAGTGAAAAAAATCCAGAGCAACAAAACAAAGAATCAGAAATGTTTCACTGCACACAGGACACTGTCGGTGTTATGGCTTCGTGCAGCTTTTCTAAACCATAATGACAGTTATTGCCTGAGGACAACCTGTACCTGGATATTTCTTCCAACTTCAGCTCAGTGGAACAAAAAAAAAAGACACAAACCAAAAGCAGATAACAGAAAACACATCACTACTTTGTTAATGTTGCAAGTCATCGGGGCAATGTAGCGCTCTCAGCAACAAAGTGTATCTTTTTCACAATGATGTACACAGTGAGCAATATTCACAACACTGGGCTAAAAAAAGGAGCGCACCAATATTTTTGCCTCTTTTCCCTCATCAGGCAGCCGGACTGCATTTGTACAGTGTTTAAGGTTAGCCACAGTTTCTGCCTCATGTACTATAATTACATGGGAGTAACAGAGTTGAGCACTTACTGAAATATAAATCGTTGAAGGTGTTTCAAAAAGCTTTGAAGATATTTTTTAAGAAACAAATCAACGTGTACAGAAGCCTGCCTCCAATACAGAAGAATGGAGGCATAAATTCTTGTTTACATTGTACAAATGAGTCGAGGAGAACCAACTCATCATTTCTGGATATTGTTTTTTAAACACTGTGAGAAGAGTCTTCCAAATATGTTAAGAAAATCAGTAATGTTTAGTTTTCAGACTTCTGGGTTTGCTGAAGATTGTTCAAGCCTCCAAAATGACTAGACTGATATTTCAAGGTTTGAAAAAAAGCACTTGCTTTAGTTTGGCAGTCCATAACAGAAATCTTAATGTCTGTGATTTATTTTTGTTGAAGGTTTGTGATAGTTTAATGGTAATGCCAAGCCAAGATTGTTTTAATCGGTCTGGCACAATGCTGTTCCTTTGACCAGAAAACTAAATGTTCAAATCTCAGGTCTTCGCATATAATTTCTCAAAGTCTACAAAAACAAATAGTGTGGCTGCCTGAGGGAGGAAAAAAAGCACAAAGCCTGCAGCCAGACTGGAAAACAGTATCTGCAGCATGTGTGTTGTCTGGACTCAAACATGCAAAAACACTGGGACACCTTTTCAGGCAACTAGCTCTCAGTGGAAACACAAAGCAAACAGCAAACAAACAAATTCAGTGTATGATGCATTCTCAAAAACATAGGCACAGCAGATCTCTAACCTTTGACCTTTTCACCTTCAGTAATAGTTCAAGGCCACCACTAGCAAGTCTGTACAAACATGTATTTACAAACAGTACACGGGCTTGACAGCAGTTTCCAAAGAAGCTGCCAGTGTGTTGCGTCGTTTTGTGGCTCAAATTAGTGTTGGGATAAACCTACTGATGATCATCGATTCGAGCTGAAATTACTCGTCTTTTTCTTAAATTCAAACACACTGACAAACCTCTCAGTATGACTGTATCATTTGGTCTCTGACAACACGTCCTGCCTTAAACATCACCTGGAACCATGAACACGGATCAACATGCACAAGACCCAGACGCTGCCGTGAAATGAAAATCTGAGTGCCAAATTCCTTAAATAACAAAATATATATAATATATACACTTTGATAAAAACAAAAAATAAAATAACATGATGCACGTAAGACGCCATCATACACACTGAACAACAGCCAAGAGCTGAACACAGTTTCAGGAAGTAGTACAAGAACTAATGAATGGAAGAAAACATTCACTCAAAAGAAAATACAGATCTCTATGTACATACCTGTGTGTGCTAATGTGTGTGCGTGTGTGAGTGTAATGTGCGTGTATGGTTGCGGTTCTGTGTCGATCATCTGAATACTGCTGTGAACAAAGCACGGTGGGTCGAACGTCCAGACTGTGAGGTGGTGTTACTCTGCAGGTATCAGGTCAGTGGGAGCGTCTCCTGCCTCTGCTGTTCCAACACACACCCACTGCCGGCTTCATTTATCCTGCTGTCTGCTGCACATCTTCACAGGGGCTTCACCGGAGACAAAGAGGAGAGCGTCAGCTTCTCAGATACTCTTCTCAGTCCAGTGATCACACTGAATAAATCCTGTTTCCAGCTGCATGCACTACATGACTGTTATTCTATATTTATCACACATTCAGTGCAGCCTTGAATGTTACCCAGAATGCGACGGCACAAATGTCTAACTTGGATCAAACATTTAAGTTTAACTGAACAGCTACCGAACATGTGAAACTAACCACAATATAGACAATTTTCAACTTTCACAGCCTTGGCAGTTGAGTTAAATCTTCACAGAATAAAGGCATTTGATGGCAGTTTTAAAAATGCTGTCACTACAAAAATTGTTGTTGGTGTTTGATGAAATGAAAACTGCAGTCATGGTTCACACAAATTTACTGGCTATACATAGAAGTTGAGCGTAAATTGTGACTGTTCATCCACAACAATAGTTACCTGGTCATTAGGGCCCTTTTTGTCTCCGTTGACAGCCTTTAGGAGGATGGCTTCCTCGTTCTTTGTGTTGGTCTTCATCTCCACAACAATCTCATCTTTGGTGGTCTTCTCTTTGGTGCTGACGACAGAAAGAGATGTTGGGACATGAATGACATGGCTAAAGGCCCAGGCATCAGTGCTGGGGCTTGGTATGATGGCAAATTCCAATTTAGACAGTTTACCTCTGGTTTCATAGACTCAGTAATTCCGTTTTTCCTTCTTTTATAGACCATACTAATCTTACACACGACTCAAAATAACTTAATCGACCTTTATTTTTTACACTTGAAGCACTTCACTTTACAGCCAATTCAGAATCGCTGATTAACCTCGCATGCATGTGTTTTAGAGAGCCAAAATCACAGTGTTACTTAATCATTTGGAAGAAAAAATGGATGGATGGCTAGATAAATGGCGAGAGTGTAAACCCAAAAATATATAATAAAAAATATATAGTGTACACATCTTAGGCCCAGATTTACTAACACGTTGCAACAGTGCAAACTGGATGCAGGCGTAAAAAATTTTGTTGGCAGCGTAGTGGCACGATTGCGTGACTGTGACCCTGTTGCAAATGTATCTCTGTCAGTTCCCTTTTCAAGATGCAAAATATAGGGAGAAAAATATTTAAATAAAGTGCACAAACTGATTTACAAACATCTACGATGTGCAATTTACTCCTAATTGAGTTTATATTAAACACAGAAAAAGTATGTTTTGTGCTTTATATTGATAAAGAAACAAACTGACTGTGCCTGGGTGTTAGAAAGCAGCACGACTTTTATAAATCACCCAGAAAACTAGCCACACCTGTCAACGCTCTTTAGGGCCTATTTAGTAAATCTGGCCCTTACAGAGTAGCTGGAGGCTTCAGACTGCTCTAGATAGCCTGTTTCAGCCTGTTTTTTCAACTCTTTTATCTCTATGATGCAGACGTTGCTAATATACTAATATCAGGGACATGTGATGCCCGTGAGCACAGAAGCTCCACCTTACATTTTGTTTGCCATGGGCAGCAAGTTAGAAAGTTTAAGTGTAAGAATGAGCACAATCGGTCACCTTTAAGCAGAATGAGTAGAGACAATACTTACATCTCCTGCTTGCCAGAGCGTCCACAGGGGATTTTTCCCTTCTTGTGCAGGAAGTAGATTACACTGCCAAGGAAGGCCAGCAGCAGCAGACACACTATGATCACAACAATGATCACCCCACTGCCCTCTGCGTCACAAAAACACAGACAGAGGACGCACTGATCATAGGTTAATCTAAAAGGTTAATCAGGTTAACCTAGTTAACTTTATCAATAACGTTTCTGTTTACTGGTTCAACCTGCACATAACAATCCCACTTCACTGAAGATACATGGTTTACTTTAAATCACTCAGTGCTTTCGTGCCTGTTTCATAACATCACTGCAGTCGCCGGAGGAGCTTGTTCAGCTTAGACTTTAACAACATGAATATGAAACAGAAAGACGGTGTCACATGTGTGGTGTTGTGAATTTTAAAGCTCTACCAGGGACTTAAAGTGTAAACATTATTGCAATGGCAGCGTTTTCTACTATTCTTCTCTTTAACTTATCTCTTGCAAAACCCTGTAACTATAAGGAAGTATAACGGCGTGTATTTACATACTGCTTTACTTGCTGCTCTGCTACAAAGTAGTTTATTTAACAAAGTTCTTCTCTTTACGCGTAAGAAATAATTAACCGACTGTGAAATTATGTCTATTATATTGTCTCTATCATTTAACTGGCAGTGGACGCTGCAGTGCAGCAGGACTGTATGAAAAATCCTTTATTCATTCATTTATAATCATCATTTATTTTGCTCAGCATCTGTGACCCGTAGCCCTAATAATTGACTTCCTTTGAATTGCATTATCCATCCAGAATGTAGAGGAGCTGTATTATCATGTCATAGTCTGCTGGAACAGTATTTGTAAGAAGTAATAGACTGGTGGGAAATAATACAAATATTTTAAAGGAAAAACAAATTCTCCCAGGGTAATATTGTATTTTGACTCAATATGTCTTTTCAAGTCTGAAATAGCATTCCTTGATGGCTTTTTCTCACCTCATAAGACTTGCTTGGTTGCATGCCATCATCAAAAAATGTCTTAGACCCCTCATGTAGAGGTAGCTATCACAAATGTTGTTTTAAGTACTTTGGGGGGTGTTTATATGCTGGTCTGTCTGTGACTAATCCTGTCAATGGAATAGTGATGCAGTGATAAAACTTTACCGGTTTAGTAGCTGAAATAAAAGTGAAGGCAGGCATAGTCCAATCAGTGGGCACTGAAGGCATCAGAAACAGAGGCACCATGCCATCACTGGCATCCCACAGCCCTGTTACTCATTCATTTTAGTGTATTTGTAACTCACAATAGCAACAATCGTTATCTGATGCATAAATATGTAATACAAAAGCTTACATCCTTTCATTTTAATCAAAAGTCTTTAAAAAACCTTTTGCTACATGTCATACAGCCACTGGTATATCTGTGTAGTCTCTCTGTGTCAGTTCATTGTATTGTCCGGGTCTTCTATGACTACAAAACTAGCAACAATGCCAGGTGGTTATAAACTGATCTGCATTTTCTGTTCTTTTAATAAAATAAAAAGCAATTAAACACTTCCACAGTCATGTGTTCCCAAATCTAACTCCAAATTTCTCAGTTTAAATCTCAAATAAATTTTGTAGTTTGTATAAATTCCCTCGACTGCACTGCTCTAAGCCTTCTGAATATGTACTCTATGCAATAAAGATGACAGCTCTTTGTGTCACGTTCATCTCCAAACAACAACGACAACAACGACAACAACAACAACAACAACGACAACAACAACATCTACGACAATGTAAAAACTACAAATTTAACCAAGTGGCTTAATAGCCTCTTTAATAGAATTCTTAACCTTTGCATAGGTGTGTGGGATGAGAGGCTATATAACCTTTGGCACTGAAACATAATTTTACACAAACAATGTGAATGAGACACTCAGTGTGCAAAGACATGGACAGAGAGGTGACATGGGCAGAAGGATTAGAATAAAGTGAGACTATTATCTTTCTATTCTGCTTTCCTAGAGAAAGATGCACCCAAAGCCATCCAATGTAAGGGAGAACTACTAAGAAGTTAGTTTTGAGGGCTTCTTCAGGTGTTTTTATACCCGTGGACACACTTCACAGTCAGAATTCAAAGGTCATGATATTTTTTTGCATTTCATCCACTGAAATATCCACGAGTGTCCTGAATCCATATAAAAATTGAGAATCACACCAAACACGGTGCATAGTGTTAATTCACTCTAAAAATACACATAACTGCAGTATTTTGAGTCCAGCCAATCTCCCTGTGAGATAACTACAGCTCCCGATAACGCAGTAAATAAAAGTAAACAAGAATTTACTTCCTATGAGCACTCTACCCTAAATGGAGCACACACTGGGTTTTTTACTGTTGTTTTGGTTCCTTTGTATGGCCCATAGGGCTGATGAAGATTTAACAGTGACTGCTCAGATAAAGTCAGAAAATTACTTTAATGCCCCTCGCCACAAATAAGTGCAAATTTTCCAGGTATGTAAAAATCTGCTGTAAAACAAGAGGGGTGTCTGGAAAAGTCAGTAAAAGTGAGACAGTGTCTGTTTTTAGTGTTTAATAAGTAATTTTATTTGTTTTAAAAATTCTGGTATAAATAAATAGTATTTGTACCAGGGCAGAGTGTTTGGTCTACGTACCATTCTAGCTTCTGCTGTGCTTGAATTTGCTGGTGTTACAATTTTTTAGTCTATATCAAACAGAATATTTAATGTGCCCACAGGCCATCCCAAAGATCTGCCAGCGAACCAAAGACAGGACTCGTATCGAGTCCCTGAAAAGGATTGATAAATAATGTATGGACTCATCCAACCCTTCACTGTCACACACAAAACTTAAGTCAAAAGCGTGAAAACTGAGACACAAGTTGATAGAAACTGAACGAAAGAAAAATAGGCGTCTTTAACAAGAAGAGACTGAAGGGCAATAATCTTACCAGGAGTGAAGGGAGCAGTTGTGGTGACCCTGGGAACTGTGAACAAGTAGAACAAAACTTAGAGCGGGTAGCTGTTCATGTCTACCAACATCCGCAGAGCACACACAGACACTGAACTGGATTCTTTTCATTTATTATAAAAATCTACTTGCACTGTGTAACACAAGTTTCTGAAGCATGCAAAGCACTTTTCAAAGAATCAATAACGAGTCACTCAAAGATGTTCAAAAAGCTACTTTCACATGCGCCCTTATTCACAAGGGGTTGCCACAGCGGGTAGCTCCACATATTTGATTTAGCGGACTTTTACGCCAGATGCCCTTCTCGACACAAACCCCGAGGGATTTGTGTCTCCTCCTTGGACCGGAGCAGGGATTTTTCACTTGTTAGATATTTGATCATTTAAACAAAGATCAGTTTATTAGCTGGAACAAGGAAAAGTTTCAGATATTGTTTAAAACATAGCTACCAATTATTGAGTTCAGTTTGGTAGCTGCAGGCTTCTTTTGTTTTATTCAACTGAATCTGCTTTTTTTTTTTTCTTTTACTTCGATCTAAATCTGAGGTTTAATGCAGCAGCCTTCAAGCAATCACAAGACTTAGAGATGTTAAAAAAAGAAAGAAAGAAATACTTTGGTTTTTCAAAGATGTTTGAAAATATCCATGATATCCAAGAATCCATGAGAACCTTTTCATCAGTAAACATAGGGAGACGTGTAATTTTTTGAGAGGCCAAAATAGGTAAGAATCACTGCATTTATGTGATAAATTAAGGTGTGATGTATTTTCTGTGGTCTAAACCTCTTAACAATCATTACCACTGACATTCATTCAAATTAAGTCTGATACGAGGTGTCATCATAAAGCCTTTGTGTGACATCCGTGTCACAAATGTCATGTAACATCCGCAAGTACCTTAAGAGGACACATTTTACTATCACAGAGACCGTCGAGGTGGACCGGACAATAAAACAAAAGAAAGCTTTATTCTGCCAAGGAATAGAGCTGCATCTATATTTCTTACAGAAGGAGACACAGACAGAGACTTTAGATGCTACTGTAAAATTTTAAACCCTTTTGCTATCTGTGCATAGAAGTCTGACTTTGTTTATCCCTAATCTAGAACTAACCTGCTCTGGAGCAGATTAGTACAAGCCTTCAGTCAGGAGCATGACCAGGAGCGTGCTCAGCACATTCATTTGCAATATGAATTAATTGCTAAGGGTAGGATTATAAAAACCAAACTTCACGAGGAAACCACGTGAGCAAGTGGTGTGCACGACTCTAAGCCATTTTCAGTCATCACTTACTCGAGTCCCTGTAACTTTGTGCTTCAAACTTAATTTCCAGAGAGAGATTTTAAAGAGGGAAGGAAGGGATTTGGGAAGTTCTGCCCAAGGAATGACTTTAAAGGTGAGATTGGTCAAATTTAAAGCAGGTGTGTTTTTTTGATTTTTTTATGGATGGAGGAGTTAATAGCTTCACCTCATGAATGCATTCTGGCCTAACGGGTCTTCTGAAAAAAACAAACAAACAAAAAAACAGAAGACATGTTAGGCCCAGGCTTCTTGAGCTGAGGAGGAGGGAAAGTTCACCAAACCTTGAATGATTTGGGGGCTGCAATAAGTTCATCAAATAAGAATGACCCACGCTGAGTTACAATTATAGTGCATGAAAAGTAGTGATGTTTGGTTAAAATGTGACAATCAATTTTTTGGTGTGTCCTCAAAGTGCATACCCTGAAAAATGCATTTAATCTATTTAATACTGAAAAGTCATCTGCTTGTTTTATATCATCTCACGGTACCCTGAGACTCTTCTTTGCAGACATGTATGCACGCAAACATCACCACATATATTTGTACCACATTTTCTCTATATTGCTTATTTTGTTGTTTTTTATTAATAATATTCATGTTGAAAGTCCAGCCTGTTTTTGAAAGTCGTGTATTTTCAATGAGCAAATGCGAAGGAAATCAGACACTAACGTTGTGCACTGGGACGTTACTAATGATTAAGAAAAAGTATGAAGAAGATGTTTGAGGGCTTTCTCCGCATGTGAATTCACAAAGCATAATCAACACACCAGCAGTGCCTCTACAAAACGTTTCATTTCTCCAACTGCACGGATAAAAGGAATCAGCATTATGAATACTGAGCAAATGACTTCTGATTAGATTTAGGAAAAGAAATGTTTTCTGGAAAAACCATGTTTCCAATCTTTCCTTTTGCACAGTTATTACAGAGCAGGCAGCTAGTAAGTAAATGGAAAATGTATTTGAAGATTTAATGTTAGAACCAGGGCAAGCTAATGATGTTCATTCATTTAGACTTGAAAAGCAAAATAAGTTTTAAGTTTCAGCACTGATGCTGCCTGGAAGAGGTCAGAAAATTCTGTCCTCTTCATAGCTGTACTTTTTAACTCCCTTAATTAGCCAGGAGCCAAATATTGTGCAAGAGTTGTGGAACTGTGTGTAACAGTCCTGTCAAATGGGAATGCAAGCTAGAATTAAACGAGCTAAAAGATGAAAGAAAACTTGTAAAACTCTTTAGCACCGAGAGTTTCCAAACTAGCATGTTGAAGCAAAGGTTAGCATTGAGAAAACATATATGTAAATGAAGTCATAGTTATAGTGTTCTGGTGTAAGTGAGAGAGAGGCTCTTACTGGCTTTGATTTTGAAAATCTTGACGCCAGAGCCCCTGTCACTGGAAACGTTGCACTCAGCGGTGATGTCCGAGGTGACTTTGACCGATACCACGCTGTGAGTCATGTGCTTATGTGTTTTTTTATCCACTTCATGCCAGCTCTGTGGAGACACACAAACACACTAACTAAAGCTGGACTAAAGCTGTTTGAGAATACTGTAATAAATGCTAGCATCATCATGACATGTAAACAATCACAACAAATCGAGCTAGCTTTGAACATGAACATTGTGGGATAAATGTCATCTCCCACTGTGAAATAAATTTGCGCTGTGAGGCAGACTAAGTACCTGGCTGCCAGTGATGTTCCAGGAGATGCTTGGCAGTGGATTGCCCAGAGCCTCACAGCTCAGGTTCACCACCCTGCCCTCCACTTCATCTAGCTGGACCTCCTCCTCCGAACCCACCAGTTCAGGACCACCTAGAAGCACACATAAAGAAATGAAGATCATTACATGTCAGTGACAGCACGGTCAAACTCTCACAGCCTTAATGAAGTCTTTCTAGTTTAAGTTCTAAGAATCACCACAAATCCCATCACTTGGCTGACATTTACTGTAATTAGTTTTCAGGGCAAATCAGCTTGAGGGATGTAAAAACAGAGGGAGCAATTCATGACCAATAAAGAGAGTGCAACAAAAACATGTCCACATATCTAATGCTGTTTTCACAATTCATTTTTTCCCTCCAGGTCACATAGGTCCTCCTCTCAATAACTTCTCTCAGTGGTACATTATCACCTGAGAAACTAAAGGGCTTTGCTGTTATTGCTCCCAGACTCTAGAGTTGTCTGCCAGCCCATGTAACAACCTGTGCAATCAGTGACGCTTGTACGTCACCTCTAAAACCTCAAAACTGCTTATTTTAGTCAAACATTTGTCACTCATCAATTTCAACAGTTTTTCCACTACTATTAGAGTTCGTGGGGTTTTTTTAACCCTATGTCTAAATTTTATTTTGCCATGTTTATTATATTTTATTGCTGCTATTGTTCTTGTGTTATTGTAAGGAGACCTTGAAGGTCTTAAAGGCGCCTATAAATAAAATGTATTATTATTATTAATATTATTATTATTATTATGTATATATTTATTTTTATTTTTGACTCATTCTGAAATTGTTCTTTTTTTGGAGACCTAGAAAACACTTGGGGTCAACTAATAGTTATAAAATGCATTATATGAATAAAATTGACATGACTTCATATGTGAACTCTGAAGAATGCAAATCAAGTCTGAAATTGCCCAAAGCGCTCTTTTCTCAAATCCAACAGATGCAGGACACAGAACACAGAAAGCTCGATGCATTCTGCACGCTGAAAATACTTTTCAGCGCAGGGTGGTGTCTGACTAGAGCATGCCAAAGGCAGAACACATGACTGCTGTGAATTCTCCGCATAATTATCTGCTCTACCCAAACAAATGGGGAAAAACTTTAATGTGTTGTCTGAGTGATTTGCACATTTGCAATCTAGAATGGAGCTCCTCGGGTCATTTCTCGAGTATTTTATAAATGGTGTGTAAAAGCTCACTGTTGTGCTGTGAAGTTCACATATGCCTTGATTCTCAGGCACGGAGATAAGGGTCCTGTTTTAGAAACCAACAACATCCACATTACGAGGTTGCAGGGATGGTGAAGTTGAAGTTGCACAATTGTCACCCAAGAGGTCACAGTTTTTAAAGTGAATAGTTTACTATTTAAGTTGATTTTCACTCGCTTTAGTTCTGCTTTCAACTACGGGCTGACTGACTAACAGTTACCAGTTACCAACAGTAACCATCCATTATTACTGCAATATATAACTGCACAAAATGCTAAGAAACAATTGCTAAATAACTACAGTAGTATTTTGTACACTCTTTTCAAAAACCTTAAAACTGAACCTTTGAGTCAATTCTTGCAGTTGCAGGATGGTGGAAATTATGAGTGTGACACAGTCAAGGCCCATGAATAGCAGCAAGTTGGTTAAATGGGGGGAAATTATAACTTTTTTTGAGTGGAGCAAACCACCATCTAAAGAAAAGAAGAAAAAAAGCACAGGAAGTCTTGCATAAGCTTGTCTTGTGACTTCAGCTGGATGTCAACAGCCCTCAGTACAAGCACTTCATCTGTCAGTAGACGTTCTCTAACAGTAGCATGGTGCCAACCAAGTGTGAAAGACGCCCTCAACCAAACATGTCTTCTGAGAGAAACTAAGTTACTTTGATTTATCTTTATTACAATTTTCCAACCTCACCTAATTTTCACTCTAATATTGTTTATTTCCCATTGGTTTGTCGTTATTATTTATTTATTTTCTTCTTTTTAGTCACGTTTCATTATTTTCTTGGCTCTCCACTGGGACCCAATCTGTGGACCGCACTAAACCATCCAACCAGTAGCAGCGACGGGCAGTGTGTACAAAGATTTCACACGAACTCTTATCTTGAAGACCTAATAGTACGATATCACCCCAATAAAGCACTTTGCTCTTTTTACACACACACACACACACACACACACACACACACACACACACACACACACACA